AATTAAGTATTGAATTACTTACAAACCAGTAGTATTTAAGAGTAGTTGAGGGTTTTTTGAATCATTCAAAATGAGTTAGTAAATGATTAATAAACTATTGAAATCAATGTTTATATGTCTTATTATTCCGGCATGTACTAATAGTTAACTAATACGTTAATAAATGCTTTATTAACTCAACTTCATGCAGTTTTGTGACATAATCTAAAGTGAGGACTATTCATGCTTTATAAATCCCTTATAAATGACTATTAAAGGCTAAGAATCGAATGAACAATAATCTTTGCAATCTTTTCTAAAAAGAAAAATGACTGTAAAGATTAAACAATGCCAAACAACAGGAGTGTCAAAATATGACATAAAACTGGATAAAACAACAACAATACAAAAATTTAACATTATAATAAGATGCAATGTTTAAACTCTAGTGATTTTATTTTAGATCAGGTTGCAAACATTTATTTTTCATTTGAAGTACAGTATATCTTTAAATGAATAAGTATGAATAATGTCATTTTTCCTGTTTAGAATTTAACTGAGCTTTTAATTGTCATTTATTAGTGATTTATAAAGCATAAATAGTCTTCACTTTAGATTAGGTCACAAAACTAGGTGAAGATGAGTTTATAGAGCATTTATTAATAAACATAGTAATCATAAATATATGCCTGTATAATAAGACATGTAAACGTTGATTTCAGTAGTTTATTAATCATTTTGAATGATCCTAAAAATCCTCAACTACTCTTAAATACAAATGGTTTGTAAATAATGCGATACTTAATTTAGTAATGAAAAATAAATCATTAACTAAGTATGAAAGTACACTCATTAAACACATTATATAGCTGCTTATAAGTCAAGAATAGAGCATTTGTAGCTGCAGTTATAAACTGCTTACTACCGTTTATTAATGTAGAGTTAATGCTTAACAGATAATGAATTCACTATTTGCTAATGCTTAATAAATGATTTATAGTGTGTAGTTATTATAAAGTGTTACCCAATCATGTACTAACAAGTAATTAAGGTAGCCATATGAACTCATGTGACTCATGTTGTAGTTAAAGTTAATTCATGATTAGTGCATACCTTAACTCATCATTAATTCATAATAAACTAATGTTTAGTTTACATATTAATACATCATTATTCATGTACTGTTATTGTAAAGTGTTACCATTTTTTCTTCTTCTAATTTTCACATTCATGCAGCTATCTTAGGACGTACTCACACTATGTACAGTTTGCTTGAACCGGGCCAAAGCACACTTGTCCCCCCTTCCGTCTCCCCCGACGGCCCGCACTCACATTACATTCGGGCTTGGGCACGCTTACTTCATCGATGACGTACTGTTCAGTAAGCGTTTTCGCTCAGCACAGTGGAGATTGCTTTAGTTATAGTTGTTTGGGCTATGGTGACACGCAGTCAAATACTTCCCCGAACAGATCAGCCACTTTTGACGCTTTTAAACAATCATAAAGTCCTTGTGCTGCAGGAATTAGGAGGTTTGCTGAAGTCGCAGCTGTCGCGCAGTGGGGGGTTTGCGTCTTTAATAAACTATGACAGTTTGCGTTCATTGAACGGTAAGAGTGATTAATAAATCCAAATGAAACAGTCCCTTAAAAGTCACGTTTTGCTTTCAGTTTCGGGCTTAGGTGCATTTTGCACTCACACTCAAGCGTACCGCGCCAAAGCTCAAGTGAACCGCGCTCAGGATTCATTTGCTGAGCCTGTTTTAGAGCACTCACACTTCTCAAACAATCCAAGAAATGGGCCTGGGCACGGTTCGGATAGCATAGTGAGTAGGCCCTTAGTCACAGACATAACCCAAAATACTGAGCTATAGGATAATAGCATCTGAAAGCAGATGGTGCTACCTGCAGCTAAAAAACACTTATGCTAACACACATTTTGGATTCTCAGGGCAATTCTGCAGACACTTGTTTTGAACAACTCTGATGAAGAGATGAGGAAGGAATATTTTTGAATGTCGAGAGATACCCAAGAATGTGCTGCAGCTTGTAAGACCCTGTTCGAAATCAAGAGCTACTGGTGTTGTAGCAAAATCTGACTCCCTGGTTGGCAAATTGCACTCCCCTTCACATGCATTCGAGCACACAGTTGAATGAAGCAATTACAGTTAAACTCACAGTGGTTAAACTGAAGCATTTTATTTGTCCCAGAGTTGGCACTAAGAAAGAACACAGGAGCATTGTCTGATTAACAAGCATCGGTAAATGTGGTTTGACAAGGCTTTCGTTTTTGGCATCAGCATCAGAGTCTTTTGATTGGCCCAGAGTAGACATCCGGCAATTTTCCTTTTGTATTCACACAAAGAAGAGTTCCGGCCATTTGCTGGTGATGTTATGTTACAACTTCTGTTTTTTTTTTAATTATTTTTTTAAAAGAGTCTATTCACACATGATCTTTTTACAACAATTTACTGGTAATTTTCCAGAAAAGTCAAAAAATGAAAGAGGCTAACACACTGTAAAACCAAACAGTCAACTTTATTAAACGAAATGAGTGTAGTTAACTCAAAATTTACTGAAAGTTATTCTACTCATTTGAAGAGAGTTTTAAACTCAGTGTTAAAGGTGATGAGTTCATTAAATACCTTATTACTTCAACTTAAATGGAGTGAGTTCACTGTACTCATATAGATTGGTTTGTAGTAATCGTTTTCCTCAAAGGGTTTAAGCTGCCTTAACTTATTGGGTTTTACGCAACGCAATCTCTCGGCAATTCTTGACTTTTTGACTTTTTAATTCATATGAATTCTAATTCATACAATTTAATATGATTTGCTCATCACCGAATGACAGCTAGGGTTAGGGGTGGGGTAGGGTTGGGTGCCACGCCTCCTTTTTTAAAATGTAAATTTTCGTACAACTTAGCTCATACAAATTCGAACGAATTAGCCACTAAACTGACAAAACGTAAAATACTTACGTTTCCTCGTGAGATCAGGCTGGTTTTACAGTACTCAGTTTGGTTTGAGTTCTCTTCATTTATTGAGTTTTACTGTGCTCAAACTGCTTCATTAACTCAAATGAATTAAGTTCACAGTACTTATTGGGATTAGTTTTTGCACTTAAATGCTTGTTGGTTTGCTCAAATGGTTTGAGTTACCTTGCTTTTGGGGTTTTACACTGTATGATCAATTTAAATACACAGAGTCATCGTACAACAATGTATGGCAATGTCAACAAATATTCCCATAAAATGTAGGGAAACATGAATCTTTCTAACTGAGATACTGCATGTAAAATATACCTTTTATTTAGGTTACATCATTCAGGATAACCACATGTTCAGTTGAGTTTAGCTTCTTGCACAGGCCAATTATTTCACATCATAAGACCTCAATATAATAACACAAGTCAAATGTATTAATTTTTTTGTACCTTTGGGCATGTTTTGACTCTCAAAATTTTGTCACATAAAAACGAGAGAGTTATGCATTACCAAGGGGCACTATTTAAGCTAGAAATCATCTAAAATGTACATTTCTGAGGGGAAAACATCCCCTACATGTACTTTAAGTGAATTAGCAGCATATTCCCACATAGCAAAATTTCTTTGGCCCAGCTCTGGCCCATACAATCAGGTTTTGCTTGGCCCACATGCCGCAGTGATTTACGGTACATGACTGGTCCAAATCTGGCTTCCAGACAAGGGCCAAACACAGACCATATCTGGGCCAAGTCTCAGCCAAGTTAATAACTCATAACTGGGCCTGAACTGGGCCAGATAGGTTGGTGTGTCACGATTGCAATGAAATTGATAAACCCATGGAGTGATGCGATTTAGGCACACTATGGGCACGCTTTTTCTCATAGTGACCTGATTGGTAGAATTTTTTTTCTTTACTCAAAAATGATTTTAGTGTATTTTAAATGTGGGTCAAGACTGGCCAAACTCACATGGCCCACTTATCAAATTTTTAAATCTGGGCCAAATACTACATTTTTCATCTGGCCCAAATCTTGTGTGCCGCCTTAAAAACGGTGCCACCTCTGCCAAACCCGGGCCATGTTTGGCCCACATGCTGTATGCCAGTGCCGGATGAATGCCTGCTGTGCCAGCTTTTTGCCAAATCTGGGCCAGAATTCTTTGCTATAGGGTTTCATATGGGGGTGAACTAAATGACTTTAAGAGCTTAGTTTGGATTGTTTATTTTAAACGCAAAATGGCAGGTTTATGTAGTTCAGTGGTGTCCAGACTTGCTCCTGAGAGTTTAGCTCCATCCCTAATCAAACTCACCTGAACCAGTTAATCAAGCTTTTACTAGATATACTCCTGGCAGGTGTGTTGAACGTTGGAGCTAAACTCAGCAGGACATATCGGCTCTCCAGGACCAAGTTTGAACATCCCTGATGTAGTTGATCGTTCCCCGCATGCTTTCAATGACAAAGTCCACGCAGCTCTTTCGTGACGTCAAGATGCCTTTATAGTACACGCCTGTTGCGCGTCCGGCAATTCGTCAGGAATACTGAAGGACGCGTTCGTGCTTTGCACAGGTGGGACTGAGACATCATTTTTACATTTTGGCGGTAGAATGCATCAATGTGTCGAGAGATGAAGAAGCACTTTGAACGGAGATCAATTTATCAACAATTGTTTTGGCTATACTGCTGTGACGCGCGCTCAGTACTCGAGCTGAAAATGACCCAAAAAGTCTAATGGAATGGATACCGCGAGGCTAAATGAAAGGAGCTCCCTTATTGATATCGACACAGTATTCAAGTTAGATAGCTAGTTTGAGCATCTGTCATATCCAACAGTTTGGAGTGGTTTTAAAGTGAAGTGCGCTGTCATTGAGAATCACCATCATCTGTGAATCATGATGCTGATGCGCCGGAGAGCGCTGAGGTGTTTACTGGAGGAGAGCAACAGTTAAATTCGTGCTTCTTACTTCGAGAAATCCAGCAGACTCGAACGAACTTTTTTAGCTATGTTTTTCGAGCAGGCCGATTTAAACTACAGCTTCAACATGAGCGAGGAAGACCGCTTAACTCTTCTGGACGAGGACTGGAGCGACTCGCCAATGGAGACGCTCTCACGCGCGGGCTTCATCGCGCTCTCTGTGTTCCTGGGATTCATCATGACTTTCGGCTTTTTTAATAACCTCGTAGTATTAGTGCTTTTCTGTAAGTTTAAGACGCTGAGGACGCCGGTTAACATGCTGCTTCTTAACATCAGCATCAGTGACATGTTGGTGTGTATGTTCGGGACGACCCTGAGCTTCGCGTCCAGTGTGCGGGGAAGGTGGCTGCTCGGGCGACACGGCTGCATGTGGTACGGCTTCATCAACTCCTGCTTCGGTACGTAATCAGACGTCAATAACCAAATGCTTTTAGAAAGTTTAATGGGTTTTTACACGCTGTGAGCGGTAGTCTACATCTCCAAAACTCAAACACAAATATGGTTGAGCACTGCAACCATTCACTGAATCACATGAATTACAATTTTTTTGCCCCTATTTGTGACCCATTTTTTTATTTAAAATGTAGATATACAAATCATCTAAACGCAAAATAAATAAGCTTTCCATTGTATGTTTTGGTTGGATACAATACTTGTGAAGTCCAAAAATCTGAGGGCGCAAAAAAATCGAAACATTAAGTCAAAACTGCATTTAAATCTGTCTAAATGTAGTGCTTAGTAATAAACATTACTAATAAAAAAGTTTGGATATATTTACCATAGGAAATGTACAAACTAAGGCCTACCTAGAAAGCATTTGTTTTAAAAGATGTCTAATAGATGTCTAATAGACGTCTTAACGTCACCTTGACTAAAACAAGGCTAAATTTGGGCTATCTAGTAATCAAATTAACAGAAATGAATGACTACACATATAAAGTCTGTCTATTTGACCACTAGTCTAGTTTGGGTTATGTCTATTAGATTTTCACTGACAGCCCAAGTTTAGCTTTGTTTATAAGCAATGCTGTCTACGTTTAGATGTCTATTAGACGTCAATTAAACACTTGTTTGCTGTTTATCCTCATGGAATCGGATCTTTAATAATGTTTACAGATATTCAATAATTTTGGCAAAAGAAAAATCTATATTTTGACACATTAACAATTATTTTCTGGCTATTGTCAAAATATTCTTGTTCAACAAAATACTAGTTTTGTATTCCATGGTCATATATCAAATGACAACAATCATTGAAAAATCAAATGCAAGATTTTTTTTCAGATCACTTTTATACATGGCTAGATTTTTATACAACTTCATTAAGCTATTTGACATACTATGTAATGTTTTTCTACATGAGCTTATCTTCATATTTTGGCAGTCTTGTTACAAATCACACTGTGCAACATGGATCTAATTAACCTTGCTTTGAAATGCACTGTATGATGATGATGATGATGACATCTGTTGAATTTTACGATGCTAGTAAAGAATAAAACATCAGCATGTGCTAGTGGTAAGCGGATAGAGCAGGGCAAGTCACACTTTTGTAACAGCTAGAGGGCATTTTGCACAAGCAATACCTCTAATTCCACAAGATTTCTTACCACACAAACAGTTATTTATTTTAGTTACTTATTGTATTCGGGTTTTACTGCCATGTTGAAAAAAAAAAACCAAATTGGCTTGTCAGTAAATGTACAGTAAGTTGTAGCAGGAAACGCATTGTAAGATGATTATCCCAATAACTTTCTTCTGAGGCAGCCCCAAAACATACAATGTACAATTAACCTGTTTTTTACAGTTAAATTCTTTATCTTGACTGGAAAATGTTCGTCATCTATGCAAATATTTTCATTCTGCATAAAGGCTTGCATTGACAGCGAGCTCTTTTAAATGGATGGTACACCTAAAAACAAAAATTAATTCTGTCATCGTTAACTCGCTCTTGACTTGTTTCAAACAAGTTAGATTTTTTTTTCTCTGTTGAACACAGAAGATATTTTGAAGAATGTTGGAAACCTGTAGGCGACGCAGTGGCGCAGTAGGTAGTGCTGTCGCCTCACAGCCAGAAGGTTGCTGGGTCACTGGTTCAAGCCTTGGCTCAAGTTGTCGTTTCTGTGTGGAGTTTGCATGTTCTCCTCATGTTGCATGTTTCCTCCAGGTGCTCCGGTTTCCCCCAAAGTCCAAAGACATGCGGTACAGGTGAATTGGGTAGGCTAAATTGTGTGTGTGTGTGTGTTTGTGTGTGTGTGTGTGTGTGGAGATGTTTCCCAGAGATGGATTGTGGCTGGAAGGGCATCCATTGCGTAAAAACGTGCTGGATAAGTTAATGGTTCATTCCACTGTGGCGACCCCGGATTAATAAAGGGACTAAGCCGACAAGAAAATGAATGAATGAATGAATGGACACCTGTAACCATTCACTTCCATAGACCTTTAACTGCCTGCTCTGGTTGATCATGTTTTGACTGTTTTAAATAATGACTGTTAAAGTCATTTAAAGAATAACTGTTTTTAATAATGTTGTACGCACCAAAATAATCAAACAAGCATAATCCTGTTGCACTTCTACACTTTTGTTTTTATCATTAAAAAAAGTGTGTTAAATGAGAATCTAAAATATTTTATGGCATACTTCGAAAAAAATAAATAAAGATGATTTAGTATTAAAAATGTTTTGTTTAGATTATTTGTTTTAAATAAATAAAATTTAATAATTAAATAAATTGGTCTTACACTGCATATTTTTGTTGATTTTTCATAGTATTAATTTCGGTACAAAAAAAAGTGTTAACTAGCAACATCATTAGTTAAAAAATGCAATCCTATTTTTTTTTTCTCTTCGCGGGGCAGTTAAAGGGATAGTATGTGTTTTTCCTACTGTGGATCTAAATGGTTACAGGTTTCCAACATTCTTCAAAATATCTTATTTTTTGTTAGAAAAAATCCTAATACCTATAACTGGTTTGAAACAAGTCAAGGGTGAGTAAATGATGACCGATTTCAAGCCCTTTAAGCTGTTTATGTTAAACTTTAAAGTCTTCACTGAGTAATTCAATGTATTTATAAAAAAATTCTCTTGCCTTATAACGTTAAGCAATTGCTGCTATTTGACATCATAAACGGCTAAGGGTTAGAAGGGTTAGCTGTTGGTTTATAGTTTTCCATTAAATGATTTTAAGCATTATATTTTTCAAAATATAACAAGCCACATTTAACTTATATTTTCATATTCATATGACCATTATTTTTTACTGATATGGCAAGCCAATTTTGCATGTATCCCTTTCACAGTTATTAAGCATTGTATTTTCAATAAAAATATGGCAAGCCATTTTTACATAATGTCCAAGTCCAGTTTATGACTGTCGTAGAGACATCGGGGGTGATTTATATCACTCATATTGGCAAAAAGTATTGATGTAGCATCACTAAGCTGTCAATTTTCCCCATAGCAACAAAGAACCTAGCAACTATAAAAACAGGAATATCTCTACATCAGAACATCGTAGGGGACTAGATATTGGCTTGTTTGATAACGGGGTGTTGGCTGTCGGGGACGAAAGTGAAGAGAGTTGGGTAGTCGAGGAACAAAGTGACTGAACATGGGAGGAAGGCAGGTGAGGGCGGGGATCGGTAAAATGAGGTGCCGGATCAGATTTCAGAGGTGCCGGATCCAGATCCGGTGTGTTCTGGCACAAATTAAGCTCTGCTCTAACCTGCCTAGGCAACCTAATTAACCTTGTTCAGCCTTTAAATGTAACTTTAAGCTGTATTGAAGTGTCTTGAAAAATATCTAGTCAAATATTATTTGCTGTCATCATGGCAAAGATAAAATAAATCAGTGATTAGAGATGAGTTATTAAAACTATTTTGTTCAGAATTGTGTTGAAGACATCTTCTCTTCTTTAAACAGAAATTGGGGAAAAAAATAAACAGTGGGGCTAATAATTCAAAGGGGCTAATAATTCTGATTTCAACTGTATATGAAGGTTGCCATTAAACAACAGATTTTAGGTTAGCAACTACTTAGCAACTACCTAGCAATGCCATAAACATTTTAGCAACTACTTAGCAACCGATGTTCTTCCTGCTAACTGCCATTCTCAGTCCCAGTGCAGTAATGTTAGCTTTCTCAAGCCAATATTAAAGTTTGTCAACACACTTTAGGTACTACTGTTACGATAACCAGCGATCATTCACTGGAGATCGCTGGTTTCCTCTATCCTCATTCACTTCACTTCCGCATTCCCCAGGACTACATTTTCATACATGCACTTCTCCCAATCACGCACGCCTGGTCACTCATCTTCCTGATTACATCACCAGCTGAAACCTGTTACAGAGACTGATTACACACAGTATTTAAGCAGCACACACACTCATTCACATTGCCGAGTCTTGTTTACTGTATAGTGACATTACAACGCGTTATCCCGGTCTTGTCCTCCTGTGTTTTGTTCTTAGCCCTGTTTATCCTAGTTATCCGTTTTAGCCGCCTGCCTTTCGACCCATTGCCTGTTTATTGACTTCGACTCTGGATTTGCCCGCACATACCTGTTCATACCTGTTTTGACCATTGCTTGCCTGACAAAGAATAAACCTGCATATTGGATCCTACCTTCTGTTGTGAGTGTCACTCCCCGGCGTTACAGAAGACTCGGCCACAACATGGATCCAGCGGGTATTGCAATCATGCGTCTGCGTCAGGAAGCACGGTCCATAGAAGAGTATGTGGAGGATTTCATCAATCTGGCACATTTGACAACATTGAGTGAGTTATGTCTCATGATCTTTTTTCATGGAGGACTGTCTGAGCCATTGTACTCGACAATGAGATTGCACGAACCCAATGAGACATTAGAACATTATATTGATTTGGCCTTAAGAATGTCTGGGTCCCCCTTCACTGTAGGAGAGGTGGAGGACACCCCTAAATCTTTTTTGGGGGGGGGCAAAGGACAGCAAGACCCGCCAGCTGCGGGGCTTGCAATCCCCTCTACTGACAATATTATGCTTGCATCTCCAGTACTCCTGTCCCCTGTTCACCTGCCTAGACCTCAGCCAGCTCACAAGATGGCTGTCTCCAGTTCCCCATGTCACAAGATGGCTGCCTCCAGTCTGCCATTTCACAAAATGGCCGCCAACAGTCCAGCTCACAAGATGGCCGACTCCAGTCCTCCAGCTCACAAGATGGCCGACTCCAGTCCTCCAGCTCACAAGATGGCCGACTCCAGTCCTCCAGCTCACAAGATGGCCGACTCCAGTCCTCCAGCTCACAAGATGGCCAACTCCAGTCCTCCAGCTCACAAGATGGCCGACTCCAGTCCTCCAGCTCACAAGATGGCCGACTCCAGTCCTCCAGCTCACAAGATGGCCGACTCCAGTCCTC